ATTCTCCTGGAAGGGCTAGGATTCTCTCCTTCTAAGTGCTGAGCAGTGTATTATTGAGCATTTGTATGGGCCATTCCTGCCTTGTTCTATTTTCCTGTATGAAAAGAAAATGAGATTGAGTGAACTGAAAGTGGGTGGCACATTGTTAGCACTAATGCAAGTGGTGGAAAAGTAGTTAGATGTCCTCAGTGAGTAGATAGCGCAGGTAGTGCTGTGGGAACTTGGCAGTGCTGTGGGAACTTGGCGGTGCTGTGGGATGGGGTTGGGGGAGACAGGGCGATGTGGTGTTGAGAAGGAGTGAGGGAAAATCTAGTGAGAGTGCCAAACACCTTGGTGGAAGTTGAATGCAGTACAGAGTGCGAGGAGCAGACAGAAATGTGTGGCACTCACCCTGGCAGAGCAGAGGAGGTCTTTGACCTCCATGTGGCTTCACCAACATTCTTCTGGATTGCTAAGATGGTACTGACCTGGGTGGTGACCTCAGATCAGGCTGCCAGGAAATGGTGGCATGGCCTCCTCTGCTGATCTTCTGTGAAGAGTACACTCTTCCTTTGAACAACCCTGACTACATGGATCTCCAGCTCACTGTCAGAGAATCATGGCACCATCTTCCCCTTCTCTAACATCTTGGCACTGTGTCTGTAACCGAGCAGAACAGCTTCAGATTGCTATCATTTGTCTAGCTGCAAAGTGGCCTCTTACAAATGGTGCAGGCACCGGGAATGCTGGTCTTTTGATGGATATCCAATGAGTAGCGAGTTCTTCTGAGAACTGCAAATGATAAGATGGGGATGGAATCGGATGTTAGGGATGCCATTAGGGCAAGTAATTAAAGAGCTGGTTTTGGTAAGATTTAATGAGAAATTTCGCTATGCTTTATGGTGAAACACCCTCCAAAAAACTTGACACAACTCTCACTTAGCCAAAAAACATGTAAGATTTAGTCTATATTTCTAAACTTGAAACCTAATTAGTTAAATTAAACATAACAATACAGATGACCGAGCAGATGATATGTTGCAAATGTAACACACGGCAGCTAGTGGATCCCTATGAGAACCACAGCTCAAGGAACTTGGGCAGGGAGTTGATGAGCTAGAGTCTGAGGTTCAGACACTGGGATGCATCAAGGAAGGGGAAAGTTTCCTAGGCACTTTGGGCCAGGAGCCAGTAACACACCTTAAGCTAGGATCATTTGATTTGGTCCATGGGCAGGAATAGGTAGTTCAAAAAGTATGACCCAAAAAGTAGCAATAGAAGAGACTCCGTTCCAGCAATTGTCTAACACCACCTTGGATATTCATCCTCAACGTAGGATGTTAAAAACATGTAATGAGGCTTGGCTGAGAGCCCAGACATCCAATTGTCTCTTGAAAGACCCAAGGCCTTGTTTGATTGCCAGCTCTGGATGTGTGAACTCTATCAATTTCACAATGTTCATTTTCACAAGGAGACATTTTCAAGCTCTGGCAGTTTCAGCTATTGTTACTAGAACATTTATCATGTCTGTACAGAGTGTATATTGGGCGAATGGCTTGGAAGTACCATGAATTGGTGTGGGGGTATGAGTGGTCATTGGGGGTGATTGGGAATGTATTGGGATGGAAGTGGCATGAGGTGATGGTGGGGCTTGATATGGTGTTGGGGGGCTTGGAGTGGTGAGGGCTGGAAAGCCTAAAACATAAACAAGCAACTGGAAAGAGGCCCAAATACCTGGTAGGAGCCTTTTTGACCTGCTAACCTTGGCACTCATCCATTCCTGCACGATCTCAGATCTCCAAGGGCTGTGGTCCTGACTGTATCAACCTTCCTACCTCCCTGGAGTGAATCCTGAGTTTGACAGAGTTCTTTATACTGAGGTGGGTCTGCCTAGTCAGGAAATTTTTTGAAGTGAGCTATCCATCTCAGCAGTGAAAATCCGACCTGGTTGAGGCATCTAATGTGTAGGTCCAAGTTTCCCCAATAAAGAGCCATTTGTTTAGGATTCAGATGAAGAAATGTATCCTTTTTGAAGGGCTATGAATCTTTGGAATTCTCTGTCACAGATGTTGTGGACCAGATCAACCCGTCCCTCAAATATATCAAGGAGATAGCCTCGAACCTAACTTTTAGCTTAGTTAAAAGCAAGTGTAAGGTGTTGTGTTCTAGATGTAATTTAAATGGTTATACTGTTCAGCTTTAAGTAAAGCACACTTTATTCTTACCGTATTGTTAAATACAAACAAAAGAAAGTAGAATTGGAATAAGTTAACTCTTTTGGAAAACTTAATAGAATAATAAATTATTTAACTACTAAACAGCAATTGTTCCAATGTCGCAACATCACATAAACACATCCTTGGCAAAGGCAAATTCAATAAAATAGTTTTGTCTGACATGCACTTGTGGCAGCTGAGAGCACCCAAGCTTTTAGCTGTAGCAAAGACATGGAGATGCAACAGCTTTCACAACCAGCTTCCAAAAAACCCTAACAACTACTGAAAGATTAAGTAAAGCCTTAGTCCTGTGGGAGCCTGACTCCACCCATTCATACTGTTTCTATTGTTCCAACTTTAAACAAAAACCCAAAATCTGACAAGCTATTTACTTTATTAGCATGAAACAGATTGCCCATCATCTCTGTCTCAATCTCTCTTCATAAAAAAGACAAGACAAAGTATGCCTCTTAAAGCCATAGTATCGTCACACAGAGGGTTGTGGAGTCTCCATCACCTGAAAATATTTAAGTCAGAAATAGACAGATTTTTGGTCTCTCACAGAATCGAGTGATATGGAAAGGATGGGCAAGTGAAGTTGGAGTGCAAGATTAGCTGTGATCTTATCAATTGATGGAAGACACTCCAAGGGCCAAATGGCTTCCTATTTCTTATGTTCTCATTTAAGAAAATCTTTTAATCTGAGATTTGTAACTTATTTGGAAGAAAATTCTAGATTTCTAATTATTTTGTGGCAACACTTTTCTCATTTTTAGACTACACCCCTCATTCATGTCAAAGGATCACTGGACCCAAAACGTTAACTCTGATTTCTCTTCACAAATGCTGCCAGACATGCTGAGCTTTTCCAGCAATTTCTGCTTTTGTTTCTAACAAAAGTATTATTAATTTCAGCTTTTAAATTTTCAATTATCCCCAGCGTCAAAGAGTTCCAGACTCCATTACTGGGGTCCCTGATTCAAAAGCACTCATGTTTAAGAACACAATCTTATACAGGGGTATAATTTTAAAGATCTGACATCCCTGTACTTTTGAGCAGCTCCTTTACATTGTCATACTTTGTATCTGACTGGTGTACAAATTGATTTTCGAATGCACTCCAGAATAGAACCCATTCACATCCCAGGGACTGCCTATACCCTTGTGTGTCAAAAACTGACATTAGCCCAAAAAAAAACATTGCTTACGTTCCACATAAAGCTTCTTCCAAATCTGCAAGTTTACTGTATCAGTACATGCTTCTATTCAATTATCCCAATGTATGTCTTTAGCTTCTCCTCAAATCCAACTATACTGTTTATTTAACTACTTCCATGTCTGACATTTTCACCATTCTATGATGCAGTATCTCCTGCAATCCTAATTGAATTCATGAATAATCTTATGTTTATAGTTCTGGGTATCCCCATTTGTCCTCATGGACAGCTTGTCATCAGATAAGAACTAAATGCTGATGATAGGTTGCTGTGGAAGGTTTTGGCTGCTCATTCTTATTTGTGGAGTTGAGGGTTGCGGGATAAAGGCAGGAAAGTGGAGTTCAGGATTATCAGATCAGCCATAATCTCATTGAATGGCAGAGTGAACTTGATGGGCTGAATGGCCTACTTCTGCTTTGACATGTTATGGTTTTAGGGGTTTCAGCTTGGCTAAGTTGGTTTCACGCTTCCTTCTGATCTGAAGGTCATGAGTTCAGCTCGGACCTAGGCTGACTCCTCAGTGTCCTTACTCTCACCAGCTCCATGTGGAAACGTTCATTGATTTATGGTTTTTTGTAGGATTTCACTGTGCACAACTTGGTTGCCATATGAAGAACAGTGATTGCATTGCAGGAGATGGATACTTAACTTGCTGCCTGAGTACAAGATTGAAATTACAAATCAACTTCCTTCAATAATAATATGTAGTTTAATCCTACAGCCAAAGTAGCAAGTTGAGAAACCAGCCTCACAGCAACTTGGAATTGCTTTAGGAACACCCTAAAGAGAATAATGATAATGGCCTTGATTTTAAATCTTTCATCAATTATGACAGAGGCAGGACATATCTAATACCTGCCCACCCCAACCTGACTGACTAATTTCAAATTGTAGGCTGCAACGACATCCTGTCTTGCCCTGAGCCAATGGGGTCCTCTGTATGGGTGAAGATCAGGCTGCTATGATGTCAGGGGGGCCCATAAAATCAACTATTTCAATTTGAGGCCTGCATTGACGAACAGTGATGGTTTTACTGTTTGATCAAGCCTGTCTGATAACTGATCAAGGACCTAAAGAGGTCCAGCTAGGTGAATATTATTGACTGTTATTAAAAGGTCCACTAAGAAATTCTGAGCCTCCTCTTCACCCTGAAGAGGTTCCCCTATCTTTTATATTACATTCATTTGTAGGATGTGGGTGTCGCTGGCTTGCCAGCATTTATTACCTGACACTTACCTAACTGCCAAGTCTACAATATTGACCTCCTGTCATGTGAGTTTTTACTAGTCAAGTAGTGCTAAAGTTTGGGAGCAAAAACAGACATTGCTGGAAAAGCTCAGCAGGTCTGGCAGCATCTGTGAAGAAAAATCAGAGTTAACATTTCGGGTCCAGTGACCCTACCTCAGAACCGATGAAAGTTTGCAAGTTTCAACTTCACCCTGCTTTGTTGTAGAGTCTGTTGCTTTCCCAGATCCTCTCCCTCCCCCCCGCCACCAATCTTGACTTCACATCAGGGTCTATAGAAGTACAATGTTTCTCTTTGTCATCTCACAGTTGGGTTTATTGTAAATGTAATTTTATCCCACAGATTCACCAAAAGCAATGCAAATGAGTTTGAAAAGACAAGATAGAAAATATATAAGAGATGAAGAGGAAGATGAAAATGATGACTTTCAGATCTCGGGTGACGACGAGTACTAAAAAGCATGAACTTTGAAAACATACCTTGCAGAATGGAGCATAGTTATCAAATGATTAATCGTTTGATGATAATACGTGGCCTTTGAGTAAAATAAAAATTGAGCTGTATATAGTTTAAAGACTGTGTCATTCAAAAGTACCTTTAGGACACCTTACTATCTGCAATTTTGTCTTCAGTGATATGCTGTACTTTATTTCCTGCAACTGTACATACTGTAATCGTAAAGTTTCCTGAACATTTTTAATGTTCACATAAATTGTCTCAATGCTATACCCCTTTAGGTTTAAAATCTTTTAACTAACTGTATCTGTTGCAAATTAGACTGAGCAAACTTAAACTGTTTAAAAATGTAAGGCCAACATCCAAGGTGAAGATGAGAAAATAGGGTGTTGTGAAAAAGAGACTTCCTAAAAATCCAGACACCTATTGAAACCTATCACAGTTTCAGAAAGGCTTTCATAAATGCAAAATACTGGAGACTGAACTAGTGGCTGTCACAGGCAGAAAAACCCAAACATGCTGTGGGAAATACAGTAGAACCAATTTTTCAAGGCAAGTCTTAAGACTGTTTTGGCAGATTACATAAATGTTACAGCACAAAGGAGGCCTTTCAGCCCATGTACCCACACTGGCATTAAATGAACATTATTACTTAATGTCAATCTCCTGCTTTTCCCCCACACTCTTGCACATTATTTTTATCCAAATAATCATCTAACGCTTGCTTGAATGTCTAAATTAAACCTGCTTCAACCACATTTCTAAATAGTGCACTTCAATCTATCTTCATAACTGATTTTTCTGATCCCTGGAATGATTCTTATAAACCACTTCTGCACTCTCTCCACTGTGTTCATGTCCTTCCTATAATGTGGCACCCAGAACTGTACACAATACTTCAGCTGAGGTCCAAAAAATATCTTATACAAGTGCAATGTCACCTCCTTGCTCTTGTACCTTATGCCCCTATTTATAAACGTTAAGAATGCCATATTAGTTTACTTACTGCTCTCTCTACCTGTTCTGCCACTTTCAATGGTCTGTGCACATATACACTCAGGTCCCTCTGCTCCTGCACCCCTTTAGAATTTGTTACCCCCCATTTTATACTATTTTCCAATGTTCTTCCTGCCAAAATGCATCACCCAACACTTCTCTGCATTAAAACTCATTTGCCACCTATCTGTCGACTTCAGAAACTTATTTATGTCCTTCTGGAGTTTTACAGCGTCCTCACAGTTTATCATTTTTGTGTCATTTGCAAACTTTGAAATTGCTCCCTGCACACCAAGATGTAGACCATTAAAATACATCAAGAAAAGGAAGGAACTCAAGACTGACCCCTGGAGAACTCCACTACAAATCCTTATCCAGTTTGATAAATATCTGTTGACCACTACTCTGTTTCCTATCACTGAACCAATTTTGTATCCACATTGCTACTAACCCTTTTATTCCATGGCTTAAAACTTTCCTCATGCCTGCCGTGTGGCACTGTGTCAAACGTGTTCTGAAAGTCCACATGCATCATATCAATAGCATTACCCTCACTGAGTCTTTTTGTTACCTCACTTCTCAGATACTTGAAGAGCAGCATTTTCTCTCTGTAGAAGTTAGCACCCAGTCCCCATAGCAATAGAGAAAAGTCAACAAGGAAATAAGAATTTTCAATAATTGCAACATTCATTATGACTGCCTGTCTTCAAAATACCAGCTGATCATCATTGGACACAGGTTAAAATTGAACGCCTCAAAGACATCAAAGGGATTCTTAAACCACGTACTCTTATCTTCCATCGTGTTGGACACTTTTTTAACTTTCTACGTCTGTGTGTGCCCAAGTCACTGCATGAAGACCGTATGCTTGAGATGTTTTGGTCATTATTTTCCTTGGGTTTAACAGATATTAAATTTGTTTTTTACTTGATTTAAGAAAAAATTGTCAATTGGCTCCTTATTGCTTATGACAGAAAATAGTTAACTACATTTTTACTTCGATATAGGTGTATCTTTATGTAAAAAAAACTTCAACCATTGTAATGAGCAACGTAGGAGGCTGGATAATGGGGAATAATTTCCTGCTTTGCACCTTCTCAAAACAAGAGTGAAGGTGAAAACTTTCACAATTAAGACAAGATAAATTAATCAGCATCATCACCTGTGGAAACTGAAAAGTTAAAGCAAGCATAAAATGACAAGAGGGGCTCTTGTGGCACAGTGACAGTGTCCCTTCCTTTAGACCAAGTGGCCTGGGTTCAAGTGCCACCTGCTTCAGAGGTGTGTTATTACATTTCTGAGCATGTTGATTAGAACATATCTAAAATGACAAGAAGCCCTTTAGGTCTTAAACCTAGTTTCTTCCTGACTCCAAAATCTCTTGATTTCATGGACTTCACCCACCTAATTGTTCTTCTTCAACAGTTCATGCCTATTCAACCCTACCATCGAATTTGCCCAACAACTAAGTCCATAATTCATGTCCATTTACCCTCTCACAGACTCTAGCTTGCCATTTAATCTCTTCTCACAGTGCATGTACATCCCAAACTGCCATGGTCTCTAAACCCAAACTTATAGCCTTCGGACAACATGTCTTGATCCTTGAAGCAAGACTTTAAAACTCTGAACTTCCTCACACGTTCACTAGAGAATTTTATTTTCCCCAGTCCCTCTGACAACGAATGTGGGAACCTCCACAGCCTCTGGGTTATCTTATGACCAGTGACAATTAGGGCTCTTGATTGTGACAGTAAACAGACAGATGTGGATCAATCATACAACTCTGTTGACACACTGTTAATGCTCCTAGTTCTTTCTTCAACGAATTCTATTTGGACAACATGGCCACAACTGTGCATGCAGCGATGGCATTGCACATGGAATATACAGGAACAAAGGGTGAGTCCCGAACAAAAAGCAGCTACCCCTTGAGTAAACCATCTAAAGAGCATTCTACACTTTTATCACTGTGTGAAGAACTTTCTGACAATCTTCTACAATTTGGCTATGTTTTACAAGGAAATACCAAGAAGTGCTCACACCATTTAGGAGTGGATCTTCTGATTTAGTCTGTTTAGGGACAGGTGGATACGAAGCATAACATAGTAAGGTAGGAATAGTCAGGGGGATAGATCTAGTTCTTTGCAGCTAGAATTAAGGTAGAAGTTCTATTGAAGGAGAATGAGTAGCTAAGGGTCAAATTAGAAAGCAGAACGCTTAAGGTAATAATCTCTAGATTATTACTTGAGCCACGAGAAAATTAGTCTCACATAAATATATAGCCTGGCTCAAAGATCGGTGTAGGAGCAATGGATTCTTATTCTTGAGCACTTGCACCAATACTGGTGGAGTTGTATTGTTGGTACAGTTTATGTCTGAACTGTGTTGCGACCAGTGTTCTGGTGGTTCATATGTTGAGGGTAGCACAGGAGTTTTAAAATTAACAGTGGATGTGAAGGATCATGTTTGGGAACATGTGATGAACTGAATAGAGAAGAAATGGCAAGACAACAAGGTAGCAATAGGGGTTGTGATGACTAGAGCATGGTAGGAAAGGATTTAGCACTAAACCTAACCACCAACAGATAAGACTTGTTGCAACAAAATAGTAAAAAGACAGAACTAAAGGTTATGTATCTGAATGCACACAGCATTGGTAACAAAACAGATGAACCAACAGCTCCTTCCGACCTTTCCCTCACGGCCTATCTATCTCCTCTTGCCCCCTTTCCCTCCTTTTGCTTTCCACCCCTTCCCTTCTCTGTAACATACTATTCCGTGGCTGTCAACCACCCACTGCCATTCCAGGATTCTTTCCTCTTCATTTCTCCTCTACTTCTTCACCAAGCACCCCCATCGCTGTTCTAATACACCCCCATTTCAGTTCTCTGTCTCTCTGCATCAATAATCCCCCCCACATCAGTACACTGCCCACCCGGCACCAGTACTACTCTCCCCAACATCAGCACTCCTCCCCTCCCTCATCAGTACTCCTTTCCCTGACATAATACTCTTCCCCACCCGCACCAGTACTCCCACCCCCGCATCAGTACTCCCAGCCCCCTCAACCCCGCATCAGTACTCCCAAACACCCCCACCCCGCCCCGGGATCAGTACTCCCACCCCTTCAGTACTCCTACCCCCGCATCAGTACTCCTCCCGCCACACCAGTACTCTCCTCCCGCGCCTAGTACTCCATCCCCCCAGCCACCGAGAACCTGGACCCTCTCTGCTCCTATCCCCGCTGTCTCAGGACTGTCTCCGCCCCCTGCTCCCCGCTGGACGTGGAAGATGGCGGCTTCTCAGGCCCAGGTGAGTGTCGGTGTACCGAGAGAGGGAAGGAGGACGCCTGACTCTCCAGGGTTCTAATTTGTTGGTATGGATGTGGTTTGGGAGTAGCGAAGAGGATACGGCCTTCACTTCAGGTCCCGGGCTCGAACAGACCTTTTTTTAAATTCGGCGCCACTGTTTCCAGGGCAACCAAGGTCCGGCCCTCAGGCTCCACAACCTAAAACGAAGCAAAAATAAACATCAGACAAAACTAGCCCGGTGTAAACTCCCTGTTACTGGGGTATTAATAGTCTCGAACTGAACAAAACATCGAATTAAAATTCTGAAGAAGGGTCCTTGGAGATATCTCTGCTTTCTCCCCACAAATGCTGCAGACCTGCTGAGTTTCGCCAGCAATTTCTATTTTTCTTTCAGATTCCCAGCATCTGCAGTTTTTTTTTGTTTAATTTACCCTGTATCTTAAATTCAGAGTAAAACTGCCACAATGTAAAGTCTCAGTCAGTGACGTGTAAACTCATTGCTAGTGACACTAAAACTCAGTGAAAACTTCTTCTCCGTGAATGTAAATCACCTATACTGTAAACTCAGAGAGTAAAATTGTCATAACGTAAAGTCCTGCAAATGACGTGTAACCTCTGTCAACACATTAATGAGGCACAAAACTCATGCATTGTAAACTCCCTGGCTGTGAGAATAAAACACCCATAGTGTAAATTTCCTGTCAGTGAGAGTTAAACTGCCTGTGTAAACTCGGACTGAGTGAAACTCTTGCCGTATAAAGTTTGCAGATGACACAAAAATAGGTGCTAAGCCAAGTCGTGAGAATGACATAAACAGTGTGCAGAGGGGTAGGGATAGCTGAAGTGAGTGCGCAAAAGCTTTGCAGATGGAATAAAATGTGGGAAATGTGAGGTTATGCATTGTGACAGGAAAATAGAGGAGCTGAATATAATTTAAATGGAGAAAGACTGCAGAAAGTTACAGAACAGAGGGATTTGGGCGTTTTTCATCCATGAATCACAAAAGGCCAGCATTAGTCAGACCACAATTGGAATACTGTGATCAGTTTTGAGCCCCTTATCTAAGAACAGATATACTGGCATTGGAGGCAATCCAAAGAAGGTTCACCAAGCTGACACTAGAAATGGGGTGACTGTCTTATAAGGAGAGGTTGAATAGATTGGGCCTGTATTCATTAGAATTTAGAAGATTGAGAGGTGACCTAATTGAAACATACAAGATTCTTAGAGGACTTGGCAGAGTAAATGTGGAAAGGTCGTTTCTAATTATGGGAAAATCCAAGACCAGAGGGCATAATATCAGAAAAAGCATTTGCATATTTAAGTTAGCGATCAGGAGATATTTCTTCTCCCATGGGGTAGTGAATCTGTGGAATTCTTTGCCACGGAGGGTTGTTGAACGTGTGTCACTAAATATATTCAAGATTGGGATAGACAGATTTCTTTTATTAGTAAAGGAATCAAGATTTATGGGGAAAAGGCAGGAAAATGGAGTTGAGGATTATCAGATCAGCCATGATTTCATTGAATGGTAGAGAAGGCTTAATGGTCTGAATGACCTACTTCTGCTCTCCTATCTTATGGTGAGAGTTATTTTCCCACAGTATAAACTCAATCAGTGAAAACTAATCTCCAGCAGTGTAAAATCAGTCAGACGGCGCTCGACTCTTAACAGTGAAAGCTCCCTATCAGTGAGAGTAACACCCCTGCAATGAAAAGTTGGTCAGCGAGAGTTAATCTCCAGCAGTGTAAACTCAGTCTGAGAGTTCTAAACCCCTACAATGTAAACCCACTGTCAACGAGAGTAAAGTTCCTACAGTGTAAACTCAGTCGCAGAGCACACAACACGCACGATGTAAAGTCAGTCACTGAGAGTAAAGTGCCTGCAGTGTTGACTTGCTGTCAGTGAGAGAATAAGCTCCCAAAGTGTTAATGCTGTCAGTGAAACCATTATCTCCCACAGTGTAAACACCCCGTCAGTGAGGGAATAAACTCTGGTAGTGTAAACTCCCCGTCAGTGAGGGAATAAACTCTGGTAG